TAACATTGGGACTATGCCATTTTATTTGTCAACCTTGGGCTTGTTAGCCTCAGCAGCCAGTAGCTGCCTGAGTGAAGAGATGCCTCTAGCTTCAGTGGGCCAGGAGCAAGAGGCAGAGCTGAAGCCCAAGGTCGAGGGACTTTCACACAGCCCCTAGAGCCTGGCACTTTGAACTCGGACTTCTACCCTCCTGAACTGTAGAGAATAAACTTCTGTTTGTTAAGGCCAACCCATTTGTGGTATATTCTTGTCAGACTGGCACAGAGTGGTGACCAGAACAGTTAGTGATTGGTTTTTCCATATCCTTAAAGAAGGTTGATAGGATCTGGATTAGGATTGCATTGAATGTATAGATTGCTTTGTGTAGAATTGACATTTTCACAATGTTCAATCTTCCTATCCACAAGCATGGTAAGTTCTTCCATTTATGTAGATGTCTTATGGTTTTTTGAAGTAGTCCTTTGTAGTTTTCTTTCTACAGGTCTTTTGTGTCCCTGGTAAGATTTATTCCCAGGTATTTTATCTTTTTGTTTGCTATTGTAAATGGTATTGATTTCTTTATTTCTTTTTCATCAATTTCTTTGCTGGTGTAGAGGAATCCAACTGATTTTTGGATGTTGATCTTGTATCCTGCCACGATGCTAAATCTCTCAATGAGTTCCAGTACTTTTTCTTGGGTTTTCGTGGGTGTAGGATCATATCATCAGCAAATAGGGATAGTTTGAGTTCTTCCTTGCCAATTTGGATGCCTTTGATTTCCATTTCTTGCCTTAGGCCTCTGGCTAGGACTTCCAGTACAGTGTTGAATAGAAGTGGTGATAGAGGGCATCCTTGTCTGGTTCTGTTCTCAAGAAGAATGGTTTCAGTCTCTCTCCATTGAGAATAATGTTGGCTGTTGGGTTTGCATAAATGCCCTTTATTATGTTGAGGAATGTCCCTTATATTCCTATTTTGCTGAGAGTTTTGATCAGAAATGGGTGTTGGATTTTATCAAATGCCTTTTCTGCATCAATTGATATGATCATGTGGTTCTTCTCCTTTGTTTTATTTACGTGGTGGATGATGTTGGTTGTTTTTCTAATGTTGAACCATCCCTGCATACCTGATATAAACCCCACTTGGTCATAATGAATGATTTTCTTGATGTATTGTTGGAGTCTATTGGCTAGGATTTTGTTGAAGATTTTTGCATTTGTATTCATGAGGGATATTGTTCTGTAGTTTCCTTTTTAGTGATGTCTTTTTCCTGGTTTTGGTATCAGGCTTATGCTTACTTAATAAAATGAATTTGGGAGTATTCCATACCTTTGTATGTTTTGGAATAGTTTGAGGAGGATTGGTATCAGTTTTCTGAATGTTAGGTAGAATTCTCCAATGAAACTCTCTGGGTCAGGACTTTTTTTTGATGATAATTTTTTTCATGACATGTTCAGTTTCTTTTTTGTTACGGATCTTTTCACCTTTTCCACCTCAGTCTGTGTTAGTTTAGGTAAGTAGTGTGTTTCTAGAAATCTGTACATTTCTTGCAGATTTTCAAATTTGTTGGAGTACAGTTCTTCATAGTATCATGATATTATCCTTTTTATTTCATTTGTTGTGATGTCGCCCATTTTGTTTTTTATTTGTGTTACTTGTATTCTCTCTCTCTTTTCCTTTGTTGCCAGTGTTTATCAATTTTATTAATCTTGTGAAAAAACCTACTTGTAGGCTTTTTGTTTTTTTCTAGTGTGTTTCTTTTTTATGTTTCCTTTATTTCTGCTGGAATCTTTATTATTTCCTTTTTTTCTGGTGACTTGGCTTTTCTTGCTGTTCTTCTAATTGTTGGAGATGTTGGTTTAAAGTGTTGATTTTGCCTCTTTCTTCTTTTTTGATACGTGCATTTATTGCTGTAAATTGACTTCTGATCACTGCTTTTGCTGTGTCCCAAAGGTTTTGGTATATAGTGTTTTCATTTTCATTTGAGTCAAGGAATTTTTTAATTTCATATTTTATTTCTTCTATTACCCAGTCATTCTTAAGGAGGGTGTTGTTCAGTTTCCATATGTTTGCTCTATTTCCATTGATCTTCCTATTTTTTGATTTCTAATTTCATAGCTTTGTGATCTGAGAAGATGCTTTGGAATGTTTCAATATTTTTGAATTTATTATGGCTTGCTTTATTGCCTAACATACGGTCTATCATGGAGAGTATTCTATATGCACTGGAAAAGAATGTGTACTGTGCTGTTGTTGGGTAAAGTGCACTGTAGGTGTCCAAAAGGTCAAGTTGGTGGATTGTATTTTTAGTTTTGCGTGTCTGTTGAGTTTCTTTCCAGCTGTTCTATCTTTGATTGAAAGTGGTGTGTTAAAATCTCCTGCTATGATGGTGGAATCATCTGTTTGCCTTTTCAGTTCTGTTAAAGTCTGTTTTATGTATTTCGGTCCTCTTTCATTGGGTCCATAATTATTTATTATGGTTATATCTTCTTGTTCAATTGATTGTTTAATCATTATATAATGTCCTTCCTTGTCTCTTATGGTGGTTTAGTCTTAAAGTCAATTATATCAGTAATTAATATTGCTGCTTCTACTCTTTTTTTGGTTGCCATTTGCTTGATAAATCTTTTTCTAAATTTTGATTTTTATTGTATTTTTGTCTTTGTCTCTAAGGTATGTCTCTTGTAGACAGCATATTGATGGGTTATGTTTTCTTATCCATTCTGTAACTCTCTGTGTCTTGAGTGGTACATTTAATCCATTGACATTTAGTGTAATTATCAAGAAGTATGAATTGATTGCTGTTATTTTGTTATGTGTTTTATCATGATGTTCCTGGTTTCTTTGTTCCATGTAATTTTCTGTGCTAAGTACATTTTGTTTATGAATCATGTTATCATTTCCTTTGTTGCTGTTGTTACAGTATTTGTTAAATATTTGTGCTTGTCCTCTTTTTTATTGTGATGTGAAGGTTTATCATTTTTCTTTGAGGTTACCCTGTAATTTGTAATTTTGTCCCTGAGTTTAGAACAGTCCATTCTGTCTTTGCATCTCTCTTAACTTCCTCATCATTTAGAAGTTCTGTAACTACACTGTTTTTTCCCTCTTTTTGGTTTGTATTTGTCCTCATTTGCCAATTGATGTCTCTAGTTCCCTGTTTACAATCTTGTAAGCTTATTTTACTTTGGATACTTCCATAGGTGTGTTGGTTTCTGGGTTATGTCATCATATGTATTAATGATCAGTTGTTTTCTATTTTTGGTTCTCTGTTCAAAGGACTCCCTTTAGCATCTCTTGTAAGGTTGGTTTGGTTTTAACAAATTTCCTTAATTTCTGCTTATCTGTAAATCTCCTTATTTCACCATCATATTTGAGAGACAGTTTTTCTGGGTATATGATTCTTGGTTGGAAATTTTTTCTTTTGGGGTTTTATATATACCATCCCATTGCCTTCTAGCCTGTATGCTTTCTCCAAGAAATCAGAGCTTCATCTTATTGGTTGCTCTTCATAGGTAACTTTTTGTTTTTACTATGCTGCTTTCAGGATTGTTTCTTTGTCTTTGGTTTTGATGAGTTTGATGATGATATATCCTGGTGATTTTCTTTTGGAGTCTATGCTGTCTGTGGTTCGTTGGACTTCCTGAATGGATATTTTCTTATTTGTCATCATATCAGGGTAGGTCTTCTCCAACAAATCTTGGTCAATTTTCTCAGTGGTTTTATTTTCCTCTTCCTCTTCTGGAATTCCAGTTACACATAGATTATTCCTTTTGATGGTATCCCACATGAGTATTAGGATTTCTTCATTTTGTTTTGATCTTTTCTCTGATTGAACCCTTTCCAAAGAAGTATTCATGTATTTGTCTTCAATCTCATTGATTCTGTCTTCCATTCATTTGATACTCCTCCTTTGCCCTTTCAATGTGTTATCTATTTCTGAAAAATTAGTATTAATCTTCTGGATTTCTATCTGTAGATTTTGTGTCATTTCTAATTTTTCATTTAGTTCTTGTATTTTCTTCTGAAATTGTTTTAGGGTTTTGCCTGTGTTTTCCTTAATATTGTCAGTGTTTTCCTTAATATTGTCAGTGTTTTCCTTGAACTGTCTCTCAATCTGTTGAATGTGCCTAAGTATAATTCTTTTGAATTCTTTATCAGGGAGTTCCAATGCTGCTTCTTCCTTAGGGGTGTGTTCTGGGTCTGTATCCCGTTCCCTTGTTTCTACTGCTTTATCTTGCTTCTTTGTGCTGACTGTGATGGTCTGTTATCTCCAAGACATTGTGACTTCTTTGTATTTATATTTAACTGGTGATTATATGTTGGAGTGATTTGCACAAGATTTTAGTTTTGTTTTTTTTTTAAGAATTTAGAGTAAGTAGGGTACTGTGCTCTTCTGTTCCCTACTTATGTGCTCACCACTTGTCTCCTGGTGGGTATGATAGAGAATGAGAGTGGCTGAAAAATTGTGAAGAGCTGTTAAGTGTGAGTCAGGCTCTTATGGGTGGTCATGTATCATTGGCCAGTTCATGTGGAAGGAAGTGGTGGCTCTCACTCAGTAAATGGAGCTGCTGGAGCTGTGAGTATTGTTGTGTCATTTGGGCATGGTTGCTTTCTCCAACTGGGACAAAAAGAACCATTGAAAAACCATCAAAAAATAAAAGGAAGAGGAAAAAAAGCACACACAGGAACAATCACTAAAAAGAAAAAAAAAAGAAAAGCAAAGCAATAAATGAGAGAAAAAAATAAAAACCTACAATATTTGGGGACAGGCGAATAAGAGAAAAGAGGTAGAATAGATGAACAGTGAAGAAAAGAATAGGAAAAATGCAAAAAGAAAGACAAGGAATGAGGAAAATTACACGAGAGAAAAAGATGGGAACTAGGAACAGGGAAGTGAGAAAAAGCCGAAAACTATAACTTGGGAAGGGATGAAGAAAGAATAATAGTAGGAAGGACTGAAAAAAAGATTAAAAAATTATTTTAAAACTGACAAAAACAACCAAAAGAAACTAAGGAAAAAAAATATGGTTGAAGCCAGGCAAGGCACCCAGACTCCATCGGAGCATACAGACTGGGATGAAATTCCTGGTGGTCCTGAAGGTGAGTGTGAGTGAGGGATGACCACATCTCTGTTCACCAAGAGGGTGTGGGGTGTAAGAATAACAAGGGTAATATCACACCTTTCCAGTCTTCTGTGTCCAGTATGTCCTTGTGGTCCCTGGCAAAAGGAGCCTAGTCTTAGGTCCCTGGAATCTGAGAGAATGCTGTTGTTTTAAATATCCAATATGGTCAAACTGCTTGTAAATATTCAAAATGACTGTGCCCTCTGGACAGCCAAGAGTTCATAGCTTAGCCTGTCTCCCTCTTCACTACTTCTCTTATTCACCAGCCACTAGTGCAGTCCTCTGTGCATTCCCTGGCTAGCAGGTCTGATTTTTAGATTACTTCTTAGATTCTAACATTACTTGGCAATATCCAAGCTGTCCATGCAGTCAGGATCACTAACACTCCACAGCTCTGTGTATCTCCTTTTTCATTTTTTTTCATGCATATTCCTCTACTAGTTGGAGTTTAGTCCACTTCTGTATCCTTCCTTTCAAAGCTCAGGGCTCCAGGATTATCTTTTGTATCTGTGTTATTTGGTTCCCCTTTTCTTTTTTGAAGAGGATCTGTGTTGCTGATCTGCCTATTCTGCCATCTTACCAAACTCTCCTATTGCCTTTCTTTGGAATGGACACAAATATGGATCTCTTGTAGTTGGTTGGCTAGGTAGCTGTCTTTCAAATATCTTGGCATAAATGAATGAAGTTTACCAGTGTTGGATCATTTGTTGAAACTGGGTATGTTGTCAGTTCCTGGAGCCTTTTTGTTTTTGGTCAATTCCTTCAATTCAGCATGGACTTTTTCCTTCAGTACCATTGGTTCTTGATCATATGCTACCTCCTGAGATGGTTGAATATCATGCAGTTCTTTTTAATACGGTGACCTTGTGTATTACTCCCATCTGCTTTTGATGCTTTCTGTATTGTTCAGTATTTTGCCCATAGAATCATTCCTTTAATTGTACAACTTAAGGCTTGAATTTTTTCATTAGTTCTGCACAGCTTGAAATGTGCAGAGCGTGTTCTCACCTTACAGTTCTTTAGCTCCAAGTCTTTTCATGTTTCTTTATAATACTGTACTTTGTCTTTTTCAATTGTGCTTTGATATCTTCTGTTCATCTCTTTTATGTCATCATTTCTTATATTTGCTTAGGTACCCTAAAGTTACAGAGCAAGTTTCAGAGACTCTTCTGGCATCCATTTGGTCTTTTTTTTTTTTTTCACTTGTCTTTTTAATGACCTTTTGCTTTTCTCATGTATGATGTCCTTGATTTCATCCTACTATTCATCTGGTCTCCTGTCATTGGTATTCAGTCCATGAATCTATTTTTCAGATAGTCTCACAATTCAGGTGGGATATACTCAAGGTCATATTTTGAGTCTGGTGGACTTGTTTTGTTTTTATTCAACTTCAGCTTAAACTTGCATATGAGCAATTGATAGTCTATTCCACAGTTGGTCCCTGTCCTTGTTCTGACTGATGATATTGAGCTTCTCCATCATCTCTTTTGATGGATGTAATTACTTTGATTCCTGTGTATTCTGTGTGGTGAGGTCTATGTTTAGTCGCTGTTTATGTTGTTTAAAAAAGATGTTTTCAATGAATAAATTGTTGGTCTTGTGAAATTCTATTGCGCGATCTCTGGCATCATTGCTGTCATGACCATATTTTTCAACTACCAAGGCTGCTGCTTTGTTTCCAACTTTTTGCATTCCCATCAGAGGCAATTATCAATGCATCTTGATTGCATATTTGGTCAATTTCAGACTGCAGAATTTGGTAAAACTCTTGAATTTCTTGATCTTTGGCTATAGTGATTGATGCATAAACTTGAATAATAGTGGTATTAACTGGTTTTCCTTGTAGTCATATGGATACAATCCTATTAGTGACAGCATTGTACTTAAGTATAGATTTTTCACTGTTCTTTATGATAAATGTAATGCCATTCCTCTTCAATTTGTCATTCCTGGCATAGTAGAACATATAATTATCTGATTCAAATGGTCAATTCTAGTCCATTTCAGCTCACTAATGCCTAGGAAATCTATCTTTATCTGTTTCATTTCATTTTTGAGAACTTCCAATTTTCCTAGATTCATAATTTATACATTTCAAATACCAATTATTATTCGATGTTTGCAACTTTTTCTTTTGAGTTGTGCCACATCAGTAAATGAAGTCCTGAAGGCTTTACTCCATCCATGTCATTAAAGCCAACTCTACTTTGAGGAGGCAGGTCTTTGCCAGTGGTATTTTGAGTTATTTCTAACCTGAGGAGCTCATCTTCTTGCACTGTGTCTGCTAATACTTACCTGCATTCATTTCCTACCACATAGTGAACTAAGAATGGTATATATAGTATCATTACTGTATGTAGCCTGTCAAATCTTCTTTATACCTGTTTTACCTTTTGCTTGAAATCTCCTTTCTCCCTCCACAGCTTTACCTCTGTCTCCTACTATTTTGCTAGATAACCATTTACTTAGATGTATTAATTTAGATATCTCGTTTTGGTGAATCCAGACTATAACTTGGACAAGTTGGTTACTTAATTTTTCTTAATTAATTTTTTTGGACTTTATCTTAGAAAGAAAATATGAACACTTTTGAGAGCTTGGCTAGGAAGATCATATAAGTTAATTTCATTAGCCTTTCCTTTCTTCTTCTTCTTTTTTTTTTTTTTTTTTTGCAAGGCTGTTATGTACTTCCTCTTTGGCTTCTATAGAATATTAGAATATATATCTCATCTTAGGAGCTCTAGTAGC